TAATTCCCTGGACTCCACACTGCCCCAGCGCTTCAGATCAAAGCTTGAAGACAAGTTCAGGCCAGCCTCTTAAATCAACAGCTAAACATTTCTCAGGGTGATAATGATGGGAAACGAGAGGGAAGAATTTTAATGTAACCCTGTGCATCCAAGGTGTCGGAGAAAGAGAAAGACCTGGTTGAACTGGCCCCTGGAGGGTCTGCAAAAGCCAAATAAACATTCAGCTAACTGTGGAGGATGAAGTGTGAGGGGCTCAGTCAGGAAAGTGCTTGAGTGCAAACATGAAGACCTGAGTTCAGATCCCTAGCACTCATGTTAAAGTGTGCACCTGTTATCCCAGTCATGGATAGGCAGAGGGGAGATTCTAAGGGGCCCACTGGCCAACTGGCCTAGCCAAGTTGGGGTTCTTTAGGGTCAATGTGAGATTCTGTCTCAAAACATGAGGTAAACAATGATTGAGAAAGACATTTAATGTCAGCCTCTGGCCTTACAGGCATCTGCACACATGTGCCCATATGTGAACACTATACACACACCACCCTTATACACTAACAAAGCAAATAAAACTTCAGTTTTGGTGGAAGTGGATATAGATGCAAGCTGTGCCTGAGATATGCCAGTTTACCAGTGAGGACGGGCACAGAGAGACGGTGTGGATGTGTCTATGGCACCTATGGCTATATTCATACATTTGTACCTATGTTTATATATCTTTATATATTTGTTTGTACATGTGTATGTGTGTACATGTGTGGATGTAATGTTCATATGTCTATGTATTCATTTGTCCATGTGTGTACACATGTGTGTGCATGTGTATGCATGAGTGCCTATAATGTGTGCATGTGCACCCTGATCCTTTTCTTTCTTCTCCTTTGCTAGGCAGCAAAGCAGACATCCGCTGGAATATTTCTCTCTAGTTAAAGTGTCTGCTCCTGATTGTCGTCAGATTCCTATGGAGTCTTGTTTGCTGCCATACACGCATGCTGGGTATCTGGGTGATGTGTTAGGAGACCTTTCTGGAGACAGCTTTATCCTCTTCTGGGAGTCCAGATGTACCTGTCCCTGTCTGCCTTACTACCCGGCTCTCAGCCCCGTCCTCCAAGTGGATAGAAGAGGGGGCGTGCTCACCGAAGCTGGCATGTGGGCACTGGACACCTGCCTCTTGGCATGCATCTCTGTGCACTGCACTACACTGCCTGTCCCAGGAGCACAGGCCTCAGCTAGCCAGACCTGACAAGGCTGAAAGGAACAGTCCTGATGCATTTTTCGCACCCCGTCTTGCCTCAGTGAGCTCTCCCAAGTCTGGAGGAATTCCGGGCACTTCTGTCCTCTGTGCCCCAGGCGTCCTACTGATGCTGTGTGACATTATCAGTGAGGACATAAGGGTTTCAGGAGGGAAAAGGCCAAGTGGATAAAGCCTCATTTTGACAGCAGTGTCCTTGTCACCGTCCGACCCACTTGTCCTCTCTGGAAGGCCAAAGGACTAAGCAGCGATTGGCAAGGTTGTTAATGTCAACGGAGTCCCGTTTTCTGTTCGGCTGAAGACCCAAGTAGCCCCCATGCTTGTCGCAGCTGTCACTGTGCCCTTTCTGCCATCTCTTGTTTGCTTTGGGAACTGTCTGTCATTCTTAAACTAAGTTTTGCTAAACAAGGAAGGTCGTGGGATTGGGGCCCTGGGAGAGAAAGGAGACAGAGAAGACTGGGGACAAGGACAGTCCGTCCTGTAGCTTTGTACAAAAGTCAGACTTCCACACAGGCAGTTCTGGGGATAAAGCTGTGTGCTAGGGCGGCAGGGTCTGGGGTAGGACCCCTGCACTAACAGACAACTCTCCCAGCCTCCCTTTCTTCTTTCTTCCTCCTGCCTTCCTCTTCTCTTCATCCCTTTCCATCCCTTCCTCTTTCCTTCCCTCTGCCCCTCTCTCCCTTCCTCTTTTCCCCCTGGACAAACCAGCGTGCAGGTCCTGAATAACACAACACACATGGTCAATCTTAGTGGAGACTGAGGATCCTGTGTGTGTGAGTTCACTTGGGCTTCCAGAGATGGGAAGACTTGGCAGCTGTCACTGTACGGGAGTGGAGGCTAAAGTCTAGGATCAAGATGTCTGAGGGCCTCTGACTTGCAGACCTTCTGCCCTGCATCTGCGTAGGAAGTTCCCTGTCCCCTCCCTCTCACCTTTCCCCTCCCTCACCCTCCTCCTCCTCCTCCTCCTCCTCCTCCTCCTCCTCCTCCTCCTCCTCGTCCTCCTCCTCCTCCTCCTCCTCCTCCTCCTCCTCCTCCTCCTCCTCCTCCTCCTCCTCCTCCTCCTCCTCCTCCTCTTCTTCTTCTTCTTCTTCTTCTTCTTCATGTCTGCATGATTGCGTGTGTGTGTGTGTATGTGTGTGTGTGTGCGTGCATGCGCGTGAGCGTGTGTGTAGGACAGAGGCCAACCTCAGGTGTTTTCCACAGTAGCTCTCTACATTCTTGTAGGAGCCTAGGCCCCTCACTAAACCTGAAGCATATAACACCACACCAAGCTTTAAAAGATATTTTCTTTTCCTTTTACTTTATGAGTATGGGTGTTTTGCCTTCATGTATGTTTATGCACAACATACATGCAGTGTCCAGAAGGCTAAAAAGAAGGTGTCAAATACCCTGAATCTGGATTTACAAACAGCTGTAAGCTACCATGTGGATGCTAGGAATTGAACCTGGGTCTTTTGGAAGAGTAACCAATGCTCCTAAATGCTGAATCATCTTCCCACCCCATGGCTTTTGTAAATACCTGGTTCTGTGTGCGAAACTCAGACTCTCATGCTTGTGTGCCAAGCTCTTCACTAGCCAAGACGTCTCCCAGCCCAGACTCTGTCATTTCTAGGACAGTCTGTAACCGGAAGTTTCTCTCCTGCTCACCAGTTCTTGAATAACCACTCTGAGGCTTAATATTAATTACATACTGTTTGACCTATTGGCTTAGGCTTATTATTAACTAGCTCTTACAACTTAAATTAACCCATTTCTATTATTCCTTATTTTTTCATGAGCTCATGGCTTCTTTAGCATCTGCTGGCATTTCCCTGACTCTGCCTTCTTTCTCCCTATATCTGTTTGGATTGCCCACCTGGCTATATTCTGCTTTGCCATAGGCCAAAGCAGCTTCTTTATGTGGTAATGAAACATTCACAGCATACAGAAGGACATCCCACATCAACAGTTGTGAATGAAGGGGTTAGTTTCTGTAAACGGGTCATCTGGGTAGATGACTTCTGAATCCCAGTGCAGCACCCTTTGATCTGAAGGGGCAGCTCACGGTCTGTTTGTTTATTGAGACCATACCTCACCTGGCCCAGACAGGCCTTGAATGTGCTGGGAACCAAGGATGACCTTGAACTCCTGATCCTCCTTCCCCCCCCCCCCACCTTCCAGGTGCTGGGATCACAGGCATGAATCACCACACCGGATCTGAGGGGATGGTTCTTATTTGTCTTGATCAGTGTGTCATCTTAGTGAAACACAGTGACAAACTCTGCTCCGACAAACATGGAACTCTCGTCGATGTGTAACTGGTATAATGTAGTTCCAGTGGGTATCCGTGCTCCTGGGGACTGTAGTGTGGTGTCAGCAGCGCCACCTGTGGGTGGAGTTAGCATGGTTCTCTGTACTTCAGACACCCCTGTCCTGTTAGCACAGACCCTCTGCTACCTCTGTTGTAGGCTGGGTTCTGTGAAATGCGAAAAATAGCTTGGAAATGGCTAGCGCAATGTACACGGATTCATAGCTGTCCCCAACATTGCTTCCACTCTGTGTATCCCCCGGGGATACAACTAATGTTCATATTAGCCTGAGCAGCACATAATTAGGAGAATAAATCTACTGAAAAAAGTAATATAGCATAAATTAAATAAATTAAATATAAATCAAATCCGATATAAAACAATACATTCAATTATCCGCATCACTACATCCTCCTCTCACAGAGATATCTGAGTTGAAGCTCATTTTCCTGCTAGGATAAGGCTAGAGCAGAGCCCAGAGCAACAAGCTGAGCCCACCCGCGAAAAGGTGGAATCTGACCCGCTTTCCACTGGGGACCTGTGACATTTGGTGAAGGTGCTTGAGGCCAGCTTAGCTTTAGACCTGGGAAGAGAGCCTGCTGTCTGTTTTAATATGTAAGTTCAGGAGCTAGTTGTTTTTGGTGTGTTAGGGAATATGTACTGTGCTGTTATATATATATATATATAACAACGCAATAAATACATCAGCACAGCCCGTTGTGCTGTAAGTGCTCAAAGGTTCTGTATGTGGAAAGTCACTGGTTAAGAGGGTACCAGCTGATGGGCTAGGGCTGTAGCTCAGTTGGCAGGATGCCCGCATAGCATGCAGCAAGCCCTGAGTTTGACCCTAGCTCCACAAAAGCTTATGTCATGCTGCACTCTTGTGATCCCGGCACCCAGGACACAGAGACGCGAGGATCGCGATTTCAAGGTCATCCTGCACCGTACTGTGAGTTTAAGGTTAGCTTCACCTTCCTGAAACCCTGTCAAAAAGAAAAACAAGCAAGCAAATAAAAAGGTAGATCATCTAGTGATCTCGGCAGCCCGGAACTCCCCACATAGGCTAGGCTGGGTAACCGTGAAGCACAGGGATTCTCTTGTCTCTGTCTCCTTAGTGCTGGACTGCAAATGTCTACCACCATGCCTAATTTATTTATGTGAGTTTGGGGAATCAAATCCAGGTTCTCATGCTTGTATGGCTATCAATGTACTGGTGGAGCCAGCTCCCCAACCCCTGAAGACAGAGATTTAATGGCAGCCTAAGTAAAGCATGTTTAGAGAGGGGATCTGCTTCCTAACCAGCGCCAGCATCGGTTCTGTGGTCGTGCCAACTCAGCCAGGTGTCACCTTCTTCTCGATCCTTTTCAGTTCCTCAGGTGATGGAAGGTTCCTATGGGTAGTGTCTTACATGTATAGAGCTCCACCTTGGTTCCACGAAGACCTATGTTCTGTTCTAATTCTTCTAGCCTCCAGGAAAAGACAAAATCACTGAACATGGCCATTAGAGACATCACCGCTCAGGTAAGCCCACTCCTCCTCCCATTTTCTTCTAACCTAATTTCACGTCCAGATCACCAAAGGCTTGGGCTCTAAAGGACAGACTTTGTGGAGCTATTTCCCAGGCTGTGGCAGGGAAGACGAGCTGGGGAGTGACCATGGGTGGAAGCAATGTTGTGGGAGACAGCTATGAATCCGTGTATATTGTGCTAGCTCTGCTGTACGCGGGGTTCTGTGAAATACGAAAAATGTGGAGAGCAACTGAGAAAGACACCAGAGTTGACCTCTGACCTCCACACACATGCCTACAGATACACGAACATATACACACATATAACACACACACACAAATAGGAAAGCTGGGCCCTCACCGGGAAGTGTGCTGAGAAGCTCGTGCCCCTCACAACTATGCTCATGCTGCCATGAGTTATCCATAGGGTTGGATGTGTTTGCTCCTTTTTCTGTTTTGTTTTTGTTTTGTTTTTTTCTTCCCTTATTTACTTCCGGAGCTGACGTCGGATTGTTTTGATCTGGTGTTATGGTCAAGGATCTGATGGGTTCCTGTCAGCAACCAGTAATGTTTATAAAAAGACGTCGGACTCTGGAATGCTTGAAATCCATCGTGAGCTTCCTGGGCTGAGGAATGAGCTATGTTTCCTGTTTTGCCTGGCTCAGAGATGGGCTAGAAGGACCATTATCAGAGACCTCAAGGATGCTCTCGTTTTCTAAATGCTGGGGGGGGGGGGGGGGAAATCTCTGTCTTTGTGTGCTTTGATTACGCAGCACTGAGGAGGGCTGAGGGCCAGGTGCCGGCATGGCCAGGTTCTGGTGGGGACCTCTTCTGAGGCACAGATGCCAGCTCCTCATATGACGGAAAGAGGGAAAAGATAGGAGAGCTCTCTGAGGTCTCATATTATTATATTATTATCAGTGTGTGTGTGTGTGTGTGTGTATGCATGCCCCTGGAGGACAGTCATAGATGTTATATTTAGGAACGTCATCCACCTCCTTCCATAGGGTCTCTCACTGGCCTGGAGCTTACTGACTAGGCTACCCTGGCTGCCAGCAAGCTGCAAGGATCCTCTGGTCTCTACTTCTCCAGCTCTGGGATTATGAGTTTGTGTCACCATGTGCAGCTTTTCACATGGCTTCCGTGGATCCAGCCCAGGTCCCCTTGTTTTTTTTTTTTTTTTGTTTTTGTTTTGAGCCGCTATCGTCCAGGGCCCCTGTGCTAAGGACACCTATGCTTTCCTAAGGTTCTACCGTTAGGATTGATTGTTTCCCAGAGCCCCACCTCCTCAGCCCAGCTAGCATCATACTGTGGCTGAAGATTTCAGCATATGGACTTTTGGGGTACACAAGCATTTACACAATCGGGGAACACAAGTGTTCACACCATTGCACATCCTATCCCCAAGATATTTATAGTCAATTTATAATGACCTCGCTTTTCTATCAAATTAAGGCATCCGTGCCTTAGATTTTAAAATATAAATGCAAAACTTCCATTCTTTAATGAGTTCCTCAGGGGGTAATTTTATTTGTAAATAAAGAAGACTTGCAGGTTTTTCTGGGGTGGGTATGTGTATAACATTGCACATGCGTGAGCCTAGGAGGCTGTGTGAACAAACTGGCTGGTCACCTGGGGTGTCTAAACTGTAACTGTAACCCCAACCCTCTAGACTGGTAGGTGACCATGAGGCCTGAGGCTTGGCTCAACACACACACACACACACACACACACACACACACACACACACACACACCGGGGAGTGCTCACCCTCTGATATTTTCTGAGTGAGATACAACCTTCTTACACTCATTACATTTCTTGCCTCTCATGGGTTACCCAAACCAAAGGTAATTAAGGGATAAATGAGATGGAAATAGTTGGAAATAATTGGGATATCTAGAGATTGGAAGATATTATATTATATCCAGCAGAGACTGAAAGAGTGCGCAATTTAATCAGAAAATTTAGAAAGGCCATTTCATATTAATAGTGTAGCTTGAATGATGGGCTTCCTCAGCAAAGGAGAAACTGACCTAATTATGATTAAGAGATACTCTTAACTAAAATCAGGAATGTTAGACATGGGTTAGATGAGACCCGAGAGCTCTGGCTTGTGTCCTGGAATTACCTGGGCAGTCTTTGAACTTCCCAAGATGACAGTGATGGATGGAGAGGATGGGCGGGCCACAGGGTGGGTGGGGCCAGTCATGGAGCATTGAACCAACTGAGACAACCAGAGGAAGGTGCCCTGGACATCTTCCTTTTAGCTCTTGGTTCTAACTTCCTCGCAAGTCTCAGGACTCCTGAAAGAGCCTCAAGGTGATTGACTGGGCGTGAGGATGGGCGGCTGGTTCGGAGTCGACTGTGCTGGGAGCTTCACAGAATGAGGTTGGAAGATTCCAGGCACAGAGGGAAAATAAACCACAGCAGCCAGGGGGAGAACTGGCTGAGGGTTTCTGGACTGGGTCAGGTCTGCTTTCATTCTGACGGTAGCTTCTGTTTGATCTCAGAGAAGCCAAATATTTACAGTTGACTGCACCCCTCCAGATGTAGATTGCATGGGGGAAATCGAATCCCCTGTCTCCTGTGGGCTCTCAACCCAAGTGCACGGATGACTTCCAGTTTCCGAATGGGATTTCATATGTTTTGGCAATAAATAAATAACAGTGCTCAGGGGTTACATCCTCTGAGGACTTCCCCAAATGCCCGCCATTTTCCCCCTACAGAAACTGCTGCATGCCTTTGGTAAGGGGAAAATGTAGGTGAACCACTAGTCTGAACAAAGGTAACAGATGAATAAGGAAGAAATGTGATCTTTTAGTCTCGACGTAAAGATAACCTAAGGGCGTTTGGACGCAAGACTGAGGTTGGAGAGTTTTGTTGTTTCTGAAACTCAAAGAAAAACATAGTCAGTGTGTGTGGATTCTGGGGGACACTTGATAACCCCCCCAAGTCTTCTCGACAGCCACGTGTCTGTCTTTCAGTTGGATTCTTCAGCAAGTATCTGCCCCTCTAGTTTCTCCAGAGTCTTCTAGTAAATGACATTGAGCAGGTTCCTCTGACCGACTGCCCACTGTGTGCCGGGGCCAGGTCAGAGTCCCTGCTCAAGGACAGCTGGCACCCTTGTAGAGAGATGGAGACAGGGATAAAAGCTGAAGAGGAAGCCAGAGAAGACTGGGCGAAGGGAAGGGACAGGAGGTCAGCAAGGCCTTTCCTCCCAGGGCACCATGGAGCAAACAGATCAGGGCTATGAGGGCTGAGCGCTCAGGCAGGAGTCAGCAAATGAGCTCACACCAGCCTGCAAGGGCAGGGGTGTGCTGAGTGCCTGCAGCCTCTCTTTAACCTCTTCCTCCCTCTCCTTCTTTACCTCCCTCCGCCCTTCTCTCTCTTCTCTTCCTCTGCCCCCTTCTCTCTCCCGCTCCTTCCCCTTCCCTCCTCCTCTCCTCTCCTCTCCTCTCCTCTCCTCTCCTCTCCTCTCCTCNGTGTTGAGTCTATTTATCTGAAACACCCAGAAAAGACAATTTTATAAGTAGAGCATCAATAAACGAAGTTAGCTAGGGCAGAGATGGGAGTATGGATTAATTGTAAAAGAACTCAAGGCCTTGCTCCAATTATGAAAATGTCACTTTAACATGGTGGTTATTTTAAGAACTACTGAACTCCACACCACTAAATGCCTATATAAAGAAGCTGGAAAAATCCCACACTAGTGAATTAACTGAACATTTGAAAACTTTAGAACAAAAAGAAGCAAACGCACCCAAAAGAACTAGAGGGTAGAAAATAATCAAACTGAGGGCTAAAATCAACAAAATAGAAACAAAGAAAACAATACAAAGAATCAATGAGACAGAGTTGGTTCTTCAAGAAAAATCAACAAAATAGACAAATCTTTATCCAAACTAACCAAAAGGCAGAGAGAATATCCAAATTAAAAAAAAATCAGAAATGAAAAGGGGGCATAACAACAGACACGAGGATCCAGAGAATCATCAGGTCATATTTCAAAAACCTGTACTCCACATAATTGGAAAACTTAAAGGAAATGGAAAACTTTCTGGATAAATATCACTTACCAAAATTAAATCAAGAACAGATAAGCAGGGCTGGAGAGATGGCTCAGAGGTTAAGAGCATTGTCTGCTCTTCCAAAGGTCCTGAGTTCAATTCCCAGCAACCACATGGTGGCTCACAGCCATCTGTGGTGAGGTCTGGTGCCCTCTTCTGGCCTTTGAGCATACACACAGACAGAATATTGTATACATAATAAATAAATATTAAACCAAAAAAAAAGAACAGATAAGCGTTTCAGCTCAGAATTCTACAAGACTTTCAAAGAAAAAATAATACCAATACTCCTCAAATTGTTCTGCACAATAGAAACAGAAGGAACATTGCCAAACTCTTTTTATGAGGCTACAATTACCCTGACACCCAAACCACATAAAGACATTACTAAGAAAAAGAATTATAGACCAATCTCACTCATGAACAGTGATGCAAAGATACTAAATAAAATACTGGCAAATTGAATCCAAGAACACATTAGAACAATCATCCACCATAATCAAATAAATCAGCTTCATTCCAGAGATGCAAGGATAGTTAAATATACAAAAATCTGTCAACGTAATCCACCATATAAACAAACTAAAAAATAAAACCACATGGTCATCTTATTAGATGCTGAAAAAGCTTTCAACAAAATACAACATTCCTTCATGATAAAGGTCTTGGAGAGAGCAGGGATACAAGGAACATACCTAAACATAATAAAGGCAATATACAGCAAATCAACAGCCAACATCAAACTAAATGGAGAAAAACTCACAGTGATCCCACTGAAATTAGGAACAAGACAAGGCTGTCCACTCTCTCCATAGCTATTCAATATAGTTCTTGGGTCCTAGCTAAAGCAATAAGACAACAAAAGGAGATCAAGGGGATACAAATCAGAAAAAAAGAAGTCAAAGTGTCACTATTTGCTGATGATAGTTTACATAAGCGACCCCAAAAATTCTACCAAGGAACTTCTACAGCTCACACACACTTTTA